GGTTAACTTCCTTGTTGGAGCCCTTGCTGAAAGCTGACTTTCTCCTGCTTCAGTTTGTTTCTGATCCAAGGACGCTGGTCTCGGATCAGAAATACACTCTCTCTCCCCTCTGGCTGCCTCTGAGGGGATGCGTATGTTTATCATCATGCTAGGCCCAGTACCAAATAGGTTCCAGTAGCAAACTTCCTGAGGTTGGTTTTGACTTTTCAAATTCCACAGACAAATCACTGAAACTTTGCTTATGGGTAGAAGGAGAGATCAAGGCTCTAAGAAAGAAAACGAAATTCTACAAAACTCAGAACAGAGTTTAATAGAAAAAAATCCCTGTCTCTGTGACTCTTGCCCTTTTCTGATAAGAGTGAAATGAAGATCTCTTGCCTCTTTCTTCTTTAAATACTCCTTTTCTCCCCTCATCCGACCCTATTTCCTAGACACAATAAAACTCGAAGATGAAGCCCACCAAGCATCTGCTACTCAGGAAGCACAATAGGTAGAAGTCTCAAGTTAAAGGCCTGTGAAAAACTGCGTTGCCTAAAAAGGACATGGTAAATTCAGAGGGCAGAGATGGAAGTGCTAATAGGTGCCTATAGAGAAATGAGGGCAAAGAACAAGAAAGAGTCCAGGAGAGTAACTGAAGATTTGATAAGAAAGAAAATAATTATCGTTCAGAAAGAAGAGGACCAGAATCTATAATAAAATGAAAGAGCCAGGAAACAAGAAAAAGGGGCCAAAACTAGGGATTCTCAGCAGCCAACTGACTACTGAGGGAAAGAGGTAAGAATGGGGAGACTGGGAAAGTGAATGGAAAATCACTCTATACAGATCCAGAGGGAGTTACTTCCCCTAATGATCCAGGTCTCGGGCCAGAGGAAGAAAGGAGCTTCCGAAGAAATTGGATAGACCATTCTCTTCCAGATGACGGAAAGAAAGGCTAAAGATAGAAAAGTGCTAAACTTGGGATTTCAGGGTAGAAGCCAGGTGTATTAACCAGCATTCATAATTGAAGGGGACAGAACCCAAAGAAGAGGCTGAAGCCTGAAAAAGAGATAAATCTATGCCATTACTGGCACAGCAGGGTTGGGGTTTAATGTTTCGAACTTAAGTGGGGTGAACTGAATTAAGACGGCTGCATCTGTGGGAGGCTTCCAGACCTTCTCACTCCAGGAGTCTTCAGTTCTTCACCCACGCTGTCAGCATTTGCTGAGCTATAGTGAGTGGATGGGTGGGGGGGCGGGGGAGGACACAGGGAGGTACCACTGGGGTAGAGGGAAAAGGAAAAATGTGGCTTCAGGAGATCAATTTTGAATGAAAGAATTGTCTTCTTCTTGCCTTCCTAAAGAGAAGGACTCTAAGGTTATCCAATGCTACCATCTGTTTAAACTTAGACCTATGGCCAACAATCCTTTAACAAATAGTTACTGATTACCTACCATTTAACGCACCAGCTATCAAAGTAGGCATTAAAAGAAAATAATCAAGAAGGTGACATTGAAAGGTATGGACCAAAAGAGGAATTCATTTCCAAGTTGGAATATTAGTAGTCTGAATCATAAACAATATCAGACTACTGACTATCATCTGCTCTAAATACAGACTCCATTCCTCCATGCATCTATACAAGTATCCAACAGACAGGCATGCCAAACATTTACTCTATGCCAGGATTTGTACCAGATGGTGGAAACAGAAAGATGCCAGACATGATGCCTGACCATGAATAACTCTGCCTTGTAGGGAAGAAGGGGAAAAAGACAAAACAAAACATTACCGTTCAACATAACCACAAATTAAATAGAGGCCCAAGGTACTATGAAAGTTCAGGGATGATAATATTTTACCTCCAAATGGTAAAAACACAGGGAAGCACTCTAGTCAAAGGTAACAGAATGTGTGAAGATAAGGACAAGCAATGTAGTATGGCCTGATCATAGAGGGGCAAATAGTTGCCTGTATTGAAGTCCAGGTTGCACAGGAGAAAGCAGCAGATCACATAAGAGCAGGGCTTCTCCACTTCAGCATGACTGACATTCTGGACCATGTCATTCTTTGTTGTGAGGGTTGTCTTGTGCATTATAGAAGCTTCAGTAGCATCCCTGGCCTCCACCCACTAGATACTGGTAACATACACACACATTCCAGAGTGATCATCAAAAACATCTGCAGATGTTGTCAAATGCAGTAAAGGACAGTAAAATTGACCCTGCTTGAGAATTACTACATTTGAGAAGGAGACATGGATCCGTTTATGACTGGCTTTGCATGGAGTTTGGATTTTATCTTCTAAGCAAAATCATAGAGAGTGGAGTGTGGGATAATAGATATTGGAAACTCTGAATGGTAGAATGGTGGGAGGTGGGTGAGGTTGAGATATTAATTAACATGTACAATGTGACTATTTGGGTGACGGTTATACTAAAAGCCCAGACTTCACCACTAGGCAATATATTCATATAACAAAACTGTACTTGTACCTCCTAAATTTACACAAATTTTTAAAAAGAAGAAGAAAAAAGAAAATCATGGAAGGAATTGATGTGATCAGCTATGTCCCTCACACCTACCATGTTCATATAGAGCATCTGCAGAGGGTGAAATTTGGGGTAAGGAGTCCACTTGGGAAGAGGTTACTTGCAATGGGCCAAGCAAGGTTGAACTGGGGTAATGGCATTGGGAGCAGAGAAAGGAGGGCGGAAGGTAGGAAAGAGATGTGAACATGATGTCATGCTCTCCTCCTTGCCCTCACAGTCAAAATAATAACCGAAGAGCAAACAAACTAAACCTTAAAATGATTATAACTAGCAAATAGATTTACAGTGTTGTGATAGAAAAATGAATACTTCATGAAGCTTTCCTGAGGAAACGTTACTGCATTTTCAAAAAATCATTTCACATTAAAATTTATACATTCATTTACTTAACAACAACACTATTAACTTCTAGAGCTACCAGAAAATAGGAGAAACTATGTGTAAACATATGTAGGATTACGTGTATAAAATGAAACCGTAAGACTAGCTGGGTTGGAGGCCTGTGAATTCTGAAGAGACTTCCATCTCTTTCGCTTTCTGCTGCCTCAAACTTACCCTATTCCAAGGTTGAGAAAAAGATAAAACTTCCAGCGAGCAACACTGCCTTTTCAAGGAGATGTTCTTTCTTGCATATATGCAAGCACCTTCTGTTCTTGAACTTATGTATTTGTCCAATGACCACAAAGTGTCAAGGCATTTCAGAAGCCAATTAATTGTGTTTCCTCTGAGAGCACTTTTAGATGAGAAAATTAAAATGTTTTTGCTAGAATGGCTCTCAGATTCTGACATACAGATCTACCACTTACCATTACCTAGATTCCCACTGAGACCTGCAAAAGCAGACAGTGAGGCTAGACCACAGCATAGCACTGTATTCCACACGCTGGTCTGCCCAATCAGACAGCCCACCTGGCATGCTTCTAACACTATCTCCTGCCTCTGCTGCACCAAGCCTAGATCTCACATCCACCATCTTCTCCATATCAGCTCTGCATAACCAAAACACAACACCCTGGGTTTGTGATGCCATCACGAAAATTGAAATGAGAGGAACATCGCAGGCAGTGGGTCAGCCAGCCTTGAATAGCACTGTGGTAGGAGAAGCACTGAACTGGCTAAATTAACATTTTTCTCCTTCTACGTCTTTTTGATTCCCCTACCTTTTCTATTTCATTTTCAACACTCAGGTAACTGACTTATTAACCAATCTCTCTGGGGACAGCTGGTCTTTCTAAGGAGACTGTTGCAGAAAAATCTTATTCTGTCCAAACTTACCGTTACTGGAGCACCTCAGGAGACATAACATTTATAAACTTCCTGTCACCCAATGTGCTGCTCAGAAGCCATTCATTTTAACTTAATTTGCAGGGCTGAAAGTCTCAAGCTCACTGGCTATATAAAAAGTGACTTTTTTCGCTATTACCCATTATCATTTTGCCTCCTGCCAATGGTACAAAGTTAAAGAGCACTGCAGAGCTGGAAACCCTTTATTTGTTGTTAAACAATGAGCTCCAAGACAGTTCTTACCTGGAAGGCGATCTCTCTCCCCTCTCAGAATCTAATAATAAATATCAATATAGCAAGCTACTACTTTTCTTAGGGTGCTGAGGCTGTTAATTTACTACTTCAGTGTCAATGAATACTTCATGGCAATCTTTGAAAAATTTGGGTTAAGGATCATTTTTCCTACCGCCTTGTTTCTTCTAATATTTATCTAAGTTTACTTATTTATGAGAAAAAAGCAAAATGCTTACCCCCCACCAGAAAATTCTCTAACTGCCTGTAGAAGAAATTATGGGCCATTTTATGGTATAATGGACAAAAGAATCAAATAACATGCATGTCCTCCTAGTAGAGATTGCCAACTTACAACTAAATAGAATCTATATCACTAAGATCCATAACGACATGTAACCAACATTCCTGGAAAATAAATTGATCATCTGAACAACCTTGGCCCAGCTTATTTCTGGTCTGAGGTCATCACTGCCATTCACCTGGAACCAGAAGGGACAGTTAATGCATCGTAGGTAGTTTTTGAGTAAAGGGTAGAGGCTATAAAGTCACTATCTGTTAAATTATAGATGAGTTGGGATTATATGCTGGTAATGAGATACAGGATTCCTTTCTACTAACTTTAAACCATTGAGCCAATCTTCTTAAACCAACCAAATAGAATCACATCACGTGGAGATTTATGTTGTATCCATTCTATTGCTCCCCTGAAACTATTTTTGGCAAGATCACCACCAATGGCATCATTTTTGCTAAATCCATCCACTGGACACTGAAATCTTCGTCTTTTTTTATTATTATTTCAGTGATTTGGGGGATGCAAGTGGTTTTGGGTTACATAGACAAGTTCTTTCGTGGTGATTTCTGACATGTTGCAGCACCCATCACCCAAGCAGTGTACACGGTACCTAATATGTAGTCTTTATCCCTCACCCCACTCCCACCCTTCTCCTCAAGTCCCCAAAATCCATTATATCATTCTTATGCCTTTACCTCCTCACAGCTTAGCCGTAAGCCATAAGAACTATCCTATATTCTTAGGCATAAGAACATAGGCATGTGTTCTAAAGCACAAGGCATGTCCTAAGGCATGAGAACACAGGGTATTTGGTTTGCTATTCCTGAGTTAATTCACACAGAATAACGGCCTCCAGCTCCATCCAAGTTGCTTCAGAAGCCGTTATTTCATCCCGTGTCACGGCTGAGCAGTACTCCATCATGCATATATACCACGTTTTCATTATCCACTTGTTGGTTGTTGGGCATTTACATTGGTTCCATATTTTTGTAATTGCGAATTGTGCTGCTATAAACGTGTGCCTGTGTCTTTTTCATTTAAAATCCTCTTCTTAATTGACCTGTATGTTTTATCTCCTCTTACCCTCTCCTGTTGCACTGTTTTTAAGAGGTTTCCTCAGCTTTTTCTCCCAATCATTCCAGCGAATGTTTCATCTCTCTCTAATTTCCAAGGGTTCTTCGTTGTTCTTTGTATTTTTCATTTTTCACAGCATTTAGTTCTCCCCTTATGGAGGCAATAGCTTCCAGTGTCTTCTAAAATTTCAGAGAACAGTAGAGTTGTCAACATTTTAAAATTATCTTCAGTTCTCTGAATTTTGTTTCTTCAGAGGTCAGTTTTTTATGATTATCTTTTACTTTATCTTCCAGGAGGTAAACATCCTTAACTGTAAGGCTGACTAGGAGCAGAATTTATCAACTGGCAAGCTTCCCTTTAGGGTAACAGGGTGAGAAAGTGAGAGCCAGCTTTACTGAAGGCTATCTAGATGATAGAATGTGAAGAGCTTTACTGCAGGGCAATAACACCCACACTAACAGCCCTAGTTCTTCCCAAATATTTGTTCAATTTCTCTAAAAAAGAACACTCTGGGCTTTTGTTTTGTTGCTGTTGCTGTTTTTGCCTGGAGGGAAATATTGGGTTGCTGGGCTTTCTGAAGGAGGAAGTGGACTATGTGTCCTTATATAAAAGGGTCTTTAAATATAACCTTCAATTCTCTGCTTTCTGCAAACTCTCACTCCCCCTCTCTCAGCTGCTGTCCCTGAGATTGAAGTCTGGAGACTTTTTGGAACATTCTAGACAGGCTTCCTCCTTTCTCAACTGCCACCTCATGTGCAAATATTATAGCAGGGCATCCTCCACTTGGCTCCACCAATCTTCACGCTGCTTTTAGAAGTGGAAACAGTCCATTTGTCATTTCTTCCTATGTAAGCTGAGCATTGTCTTTCCCTTAACTATTTGCCAGTCTTCACACTGTTAATCCAATATGAAATTCAATAATTATTATTAAATTTATTGTAGTGTGTGTTTTCTCATTCCAGAAGCCATCAACAGACTTAACTTCCATTTTTTTCTAGACATGATACATATGTGACAGTCTCTCTGAACACTCATATATACGAAAATATTCTTTTGTTGCTTTCACACATTAACAAAAACTTGGATGACTTCTTAGATCACAACTTGTTTTCCTCCAAGCCCACTACTATCTAGTGCTTCATGCTATGGAGATTATCTGATGTTTAATAAAGTAGAAATGAAGTCTGAATTTAGCTTGGGTTTTATTTTTTAAAAAACGTTGGGGCCTTGGGGTTTTGCATCAGTGCTTTTGTGTGTCTATGAGGTTCATACGTTTTCTACCAGGATGAGTATGCAAGCAGGTCTTAACTATTTTCTCTGGGAGCTATAAAGTACTGTCGAATGCTGACTCAATCTTTCTTCCATTTGGGAACGTTTTCTTCTTTATATCTTTTATTATTACTTTGATACCATGTTTGCTGACTTCATCTTCAGAAGCCCCTGATACTCATGATTTCACTGTCTATTTTCTGGCTTCCATATTGATTCATTTTGCTGTTATCATGCTTATTTCTTTAATGACTCCTTCTGCATTCTAAAGGAGACTCTCAACTTTCTAGTCATGGGAACTGATTACTTTCTGAAGTTTCTGTTATGTTCTTTCAGCCTTCTAGAGAAGATTTCAAAAACTTTCTTCTGTTTCCTTTAGTAGATCATTTTTCAAATACATTCCATCTGTGTCTCCAAGGCAATGGTCCCCTACTCTCAAGTTGCAGACATTTTTCAAAGGCCTCATGTTGATTTTTAATTGCTAGTTTGGTTTACCAAAGAGAGTTTTATTCAGGCCCTCTCTTCTGATGAGTAAATATTGACTTTAATCTCCTGCCCACCTTACACCCCCTAATATGCATATCCTGTACTCCCTGACACCCGGATGCCAACAGAATTCCTCCCTCAGATCCTAACATGGGAAAACAGGTGATTATTTATATACACAGATACATACATACATATCCTTGTGGTAGACTGTATTTCATTTTCCAACATGGCCATGACAAAATCCACTCTCCCACATGCTCCTCTGCAGCATAATCTCACCATTTCTCTAACAAGGAGAATCTAATACCCTTCCCTTGAATATGGTCTGACCTTAGTGTTCACTTATGCCAAAAAAAAAATGCAGAAAAAGTGACCACTTTATGATTTCTGAAACTAGGCTGCATGGATCCATCTGCTTCATCTCTGGATGCTCCTCTTGGCACCCAGACATTGTGCTGTGAAAAGCCCAAGCCACACAGAGGCCATGTGTAGGTGCCCTGGTTGACATTTTCCATTGAGCCAAGGCTTCATTCAAGTCATCCCAGCCAGACATGTGAGTGAAAAGCCTCCAGAAAATTACAGCCCTCAGCCACTTGGAGGCCCCATTTACTGTGGAGGAGGGATTAACCATCCAAGTTACTGGCTCATAGTCTCTATAAGCATAATTCAATGCTTGTCACCTTAAGCCACTAAGTTTTGCAGTAGTTCATTGCACTGCCATAGATAACCAGAACAAGCTTCTAATCAAATTTCTTAATCAGCCATTTCTATAGTACAATTCTGATAGGCTGAGAAGGAATCCACTCTTAGTCCCACTGTTTGGTGAACTATTAGTAAAATACTTTATTTCTGGATATATTTCACTGGAATCTGAGCAAGAGTTTAAAAGAAGCTAACAACTATTGCATTTACATCCTTTCTCATCTCTGTCTCTTTCTATGGCTGACTTCACATCCTAGGATACAAGATTCCACTGTCTGTCTACTTCAAAGGTCAGCCCTTTGCAAAACTGAGGAGGGATGCAAAGGTAGAAAGGCCACACCTGCCCCCGAAAGGAGTTCCCATGGGTGGCACCAAGGATAATTATGTGGCTTTCTCACTAGTATGGGCCTCATGGGATACAAGACAGCACTGGTAGGAGTCCTTTCCTGTCCTTCCACCCTGCCCTGCCCCGACCCTCGTAAGCTGGTTAGAAGTTACATAATGCATCCATCATTGCAATTGTTTCAATCCCACCCCAGCCTTGCTATGTTCATGAAAACAGCTCCAAGCAACTGACATGCCTCAGGTCTTCCAGAAGGGGTAGAGAGTTTTCTTGATGCAATAAAAAATGACAAAGGGGAAATCACCACAGATTCCACAGAAATTCAAACCATCATCAGAGAATATTACAAACAACTCTATGCACATAAACTAGTAAACCTGGAAGAAATGGATAAATTCCTGGACTCCTGTGTCCTACCAAGCCTAAACCAGGAGGAAGCTGAAACTATGAATGGACCAATAACAAGGTCAGAAGTCGAGGCAGCAATTAAGAGCCTACCACACAAAAAAAGCCCAGGTCCAGATGGGTTCACAGCCAAATTCTACCAGACACACAAAGAGGAGCTAATACCATTCCTTCTGAAACTATTCCAAATAATCCAAAAAGAGGGAATCCTTCCCAAATCATCTTATGAGACCAACATCATCCTGATACCAAAACCCGGCAGAGACCCAACAAGAAAAGAAAACTTCAGGCCAATATCCATGATGAACATAGATGCAAAAATCTTCAATAAAATATTGGCAAGCCGATTGCAACAGCAAATCAAAAAACTTATCCATCATGATCAAGTAGGATTCATCCCGGGGATGCAACACTGGTTCAACATATGCAAGTCTATAAACGTAATTCACCACATAAACAGAACCAAAAACAAAAACCAAATGATTATCTCAATTGATGCAGAGAAGGCATTCGACGAAATTCAACCACCCTTTATGCTAAAAACCCTCAATAAACTCGGTATCGATGGAACGTATCTCAAAATAATAAAAGCTATTTACGACAAACCAACAGCCAATATCATACTGAATGGGCAAAAACTGAAAGCATTCCCTTTGAAATCTGGCACTAGACAAGGATGCCCTCTGTCACCACTCCTATTCAATATAGTACTGAAAGTTCTAGCCAGAGCAATCAGGCAAGAAAAAGAAATAAAGGATATTCAAATAGGAAAGGTGGAAGGCAAATTGTCTCTATTTGCAGACGACATGATAGTATACCTCGAAGACCCCATCGCCTCAGCCCAAAAACTTCTGAAACTGATAAGCAACTTCAGCAAAGTCTCAGAATATAAAATCAATGTGCAAAAATCACAAGCATTCCTCTACACCAATAACAGACTTAAAGAAAGCCAAATCAAGAACGAACTGCCATTCACAATTGCTACAAAAATAATAAAATACCTAGGAATACAACTCACAAAAAACGTAAGGGACCTCTTCAAGGAAAACTACAAACCACTGCTCAATGAAATAAGAGAGGACACAAACAGATGGAGAAACATTCCATGTTCATGGTTAGGAAGAATCAATATCATGAAAATGGCTATACTGCCCAAAGTAATTTACAGAATCAACACTATCCCCATCAAGCTACCATTGACTTTCTTCACAGAACTGGAAAAAACCACCATGAACTTCATATGGAACCAAAAGAGAGCCCGCATAGCCAAGTCAATTCTAAGCAAAAAGAACACAGCGGGGGGCATCACACTACTGGATTTCAAACTATACTACAAGGCTACAGTAATCAAAACAGCATGGTACTGGTACCAAAACAGAGATATAGACCAATGGAACAAAACAGAGGCATCGGAGGCAACACAACATATCTACAACCATACAATCTTTGATAAACCTGACAAAAACAAGCAATGGGGAAACGATTCCCTGTTTAATAAATGGTGTTGGGAAAACTGGCTAGCCATGCGCAGAAAGCAGAAACTGGACCCCTTCCTGACACCTTACACTACAATTAACTCCAGATGGATTAAAGACTTAAATATAAGACCTGGCACCATAAAAACCTTAGTAGAAGAAAATCTAGGCAAAATCATTCAGGACATAGGAGTAGGCAAGGACTTCATTACCAAAATACCAAAAGCATTGGCAACAAAAGCCAAAATAGACAAATGGGACCTAATCAAACTCCACAGCTTCTGCACGGCAAAAGAAACAGTCACTAGAGTGAATCGGCAACCAACAGAATGGGAAAAAATTTTTGCAGTTTACCCATCTGACAAAGGGCTGATATCCAGAATTTACAAAGAACTCAAACAGATTTACAAGAACAAAACAAACAAGCCCATTCAAAAATGGGCAAAGGATATGAACAGACACTTTACAAAAGAAGACATATATGAGGCCAACAATCATATGAAAAAATGCTCATCATCACTGGTCATCAGAGAGATGCAAATCAAAACCACAGTGAGATACCATCTCAACACCAGTTAGAATGGCGATCATTAAAAAATCTGGAGACAACAGATGCTGGAGAGGATGTGGAGAAAAAGGAACACTTTTACACCGTTGGTGGGAGTGTAAATTAGTTAACCATTGTGGAAGACAGTGTGGCAATTCCTCAAGGCCTTAGAAATAGAAATTCCATTTGACCCAGCAATCCCATTATTGGGTATATATCCAAAGGACTATAAATCGTTCTACTATAAGGACACATGCACACAAATGTTCATTGCAGCACTGTTTACAATAGCAAAGACCTGGAGTCAACCCAAAGGCCCTTTGATGATAGACTGGATTGGGAAAATGTGGCACATATACACCATGGAATATTATGCAGCAATCAGAAATGATGAGTTCATGTCTTTTTTAGGGACATGGATGAATCTGGAGAACATCATTCTCAGCAAACTGACACAAGAACAGAAAATGAAATATCGCATATTCTCACTCATAGGCGGGTGATGAAAAATGAGAACACATGGACATAGGGAGGGGAGTACTAAACACTGGGGTTTATTGAGGGGAAAAGGGGAGGGCCAATGGGGGGGGAGCTGGGGAGGGATAGCCTGGGGAGAAATGCCAAATGTGGTTGAAGGGGAGAAAGGAAGCAAAACACACTGCCATGTGTGTACCTATGCAACTGTCTTGCATGTTCTGCACATGTACCCCAAAACCTAAAATGCAGTAAAAAATTAAAAAAAAAAAAGACATCCTTACAGACTGAGGAAATTGTGTATTTAAAATTTTTGAGGCATTTGGCAGAATAAAGTATATCCTACTTAAGGACATAAGTTTTGTCATATTAGATCACCTGCAGAGTAAGCATAGTTTAGCATTCTGTCTTTGACATGGTACTGATCCAAACACTAAATTCCACAGAGGTACCACAGGACAGTGTAATTCACCCTCTAAAAGCCACTGCACCTCTATGACTCATGAACACATTACACTTACTTTGTACTTTTATTCTTTTCAACCCAGACCATGTCTTGGGAGGGATTTGCTCCAAACGTTTATGACTCACTGTGTAAACTAATGTCTTTTTTTCCTATTTTTTTCTAAATTTCTCTTCTTTCAGGCTTCAAAGAGTCCTCCCTGCTCCTTCTCATACTTTGGAATTTGGTGAACACAAACATATTGATGCCCTTTGTGGCTTGGTTGTCTTTGATCATCTCCCCATGCAGCCTTCATCTCTGTGGGCTGAAAGTCTTAATCTTCTTAGTTTGACCTCATGTTTTTAGCCCACATATTCCCTCTATTCTTCCATCTGCCCTTCTGTGGCCTTTCTAAGAATCATATTTCTTTGTTAAGGGAGACTAACCACACACACTCTTTCAAGAGCAGGTGTTTCCAGCCTTGCCTTTAACCCTCTCCAGTGGGCTATTCAATCAAGCATGCTTATATGTTTGCAGTGGGAGGGGGCAAACAGGATGGGAGAAATATTTCAAAGTCAATGTCAGAGCACAGTTTGGAAATATTTTGTCGCCCAAATGATGCAAGGAGAAATTACTCCCTGGGCTCCTTCAGTATCTATTCCAACTTGAATGGCATGATTTCTAAAGCATGTGGGAGCTTCAGCGGTAGGCAGGGTAGAAAAACAAAGAGCCTATTTTTACACACAACGTTCAAAGGTGGGAGCGGGGTGAGAAACAAAAACCAGAAAAACAACCCTAAATTTTATACACAGGGAAATAATAAAAATAGGATGGCAGCTTCATTTTGATATTTTGGTTCTTAGACACTGTTGTTTTTATGGGAATGGGAGAAAAACAAACAAATGGAACAGAAGGTGTTATACACAGGAGGAATATAAACACAGACTCATGGTATGTTAGTACTGGAAGAGAATGCCAAAGTTCCTTCACATTAGCAGTTTCCAAAAACCAGTCTGTAGACCAGAGATGGGCTGTGCCTGTGAGGTCCATGTAGGGAGCTTGTTATAAAGGCCCCTGGAAACCCTCTTTCTGGAAACACTGATTCCAGAAGTCAAGGGCAAGGTCTAGGGAACTTTAGTTGTTTTCTCTTTCTTTTTTAAATTCTTTGGGGTAATTTGATGTACAAATGGGTTTGGGAGACACTAGTCTAGATTGGTTTTCCAAACTTTTACTTGTTTGAGTTTTCATTGCTTTTTATTTCAGTAGCAAAACCCTCCTCTGAAATGAAATCATACACAGAATCTAAACATACAAAATCCATATGAGTGGCTTCCCTGATTGAACTGGGGATGGCAGGACCAGGATTTCAACTCCACCCTCTCCCTCCCTAAGTGACCCAACAGAGCCACCAGGGAACTGTAAAGGTGACACGGACACAGGCTGATGATGAATGCTCCTGTCTCATCTTTTAATTTTACTGATAATGGGACTGGTGCCCAGAGAGATGATGTCCGCCAACTTCATCCAGAATTTAGTGGGTGAGTTGAGGATAGACTCCAGAACAAAATTCCAGGCTGTGTGTGTAGCTTCCATCGTCAGCATCAGCACAGGTCCATGGTCAGCTTCTCCCAACACTAGACTGGGAGCCCCTCACCTTCTGGTGGCTCCAGGAATCCTCCCTTCCAGAAGGTGAGGCTGGTGTATTGCCCTATGGCTGTCCTTCAACAAGTCGGAGGGGACTATATGCCCTTACCTGCCCATGAAGGCTACCTCAGTGATGACTCCAGGGGTTTCCTGTAGCCTCCTAGAAGGAGCCCCTCCTAAACTAAGAAGAAAGCAAAGCCCACCTATTTCACCTCTGATACACCATCCTTTTGTTAGTTACCTGCTTCTGTTTGAGCAACTTACCATCAGTCCTATTTTCTTTCTTTTTTTTTTCTGAGACAGAGTCTTGAGCCCAGGCTCAAGTACAGTGGCATGATCTCGGCTCATTGAAACCTCCAATTCCTGGATTCAAGAGATTCTCATGCCTCAGCCTCCTAAGTAGTTGGAATTACATGCATGTACCATGATGCCCAGCTAATTTTTTGTATTTTTAGTAAAGACAGGAATTTGCCATGTCGTCCAGGCTGGTCTCTAATTCCTGGCCTCAAGTGATACACCTGCTTTGGCCTCATCAGTTCTATTTTTAACAACATCTGTATATTCAAGGAATATTAAGGTAGGAAGCATAATAAAACAAATTCCCATGAACCTTCCACCCAACTTAAGAAACAGAACATTTCCAAAGTGAGTTTCTATGTGTCCCTCCCCAAAGTCATATTCGAGCCCTCACCCCTCGACCACCACAACTATAATCCTAACCTTGATCCTTTATCCTTCTCTTGTACTTATGTATACAGTTGTCACCCTGGCTATGTACCTAATTCTTCTGTTATTTCATTTCACTTGATTTTGAACTTTAAAAAGTGGCACCATACCACAGGTGTTCTTTGGCCTTCCATGTTCGCACTCATGTTTCTGACATTCATCCCTGCTGGTGCATGTAGCTGTAATTCATTTGCTTTCACTGCTGTCAGGTGTACCACATAATGGGATTACGTGAATATACTATATTCAGTGCTAAAAGAATAGTGGAGTGCTTATATGAATGTTTACCAGGCATGGTTCTAGGTGCTGGAATGCAGCAGTGAACAAAACAGACACAATCTCTCCCCTCCTAGAGCTTAAATTCCTCCGAGAAGCATGCACTGCACAATTTTTTATTCTGTCTCCTGTTGGGCATTTGGAGTTTCCCACCCCCACCCCAACCCCCAATTTTTTGCTGTTACAAACAGTACTACCTGGACATGTTGTAGTCATTCATACTCATGTGTTGAAATGTCTCTAAGACACTGAGGCAATATTAGAACCACTTGGGAAGCTAATCTATCACATCTGCTAATGATAACAGATTCAGAGCTTAGAACCCTCGAGCTGCAATTTGCCAGAGCAACAAATGCGAAAATCACCTCAGGAGCCCACAGTTTCTAGCTTCACTGGAGGCTAAGAACTTTTCAAGACATCAGAAAGCTAATTATTGATCATTTTACTCCCAAGGAAGTAAAAGAGAGCCTGGTGTAGTAAAAAGAAGACAGGTTTGGAAATAAGAAAACCTCATTTAGCTTCCTGATACTACACAAATAAATAAATCAGCTATCCTTTTTGGGTTTCACTTTACAAGTTCATGAAATGAGAATATTTGTAACTCATAGCTTATTAGGTTTCTAGTAATAATTGAACAACGATGCCAGTGATGGTTGCCATTCTCTGTGTTTACCGCATGCCAGGCACCATGCTGAAGCCTCCTGAATTGTCATCTCCCTGAATCTCACATGGTAAATGTCATCTCCATGATAGGACCAGTTAATTGCCATACCTAAGTTCCCACAACTAGGGGATCCAGAATTCGAGTCCACATCCATCTGATGCCAAATTCTGTTTTCCTAATTCTTAGAAGTGTGACCGCCAGCAAGTTCCTTTGCCTTTCTGAGGCTGAGTTTCCTCCTCTGTAAAATGCACATATTAATAGTAACCAGCACATTGCATTGTTTCCAGTGTTAAATGAGGTAATTGATGCACAGCCCGGAATTTACTAAGCACAAAAAGCCTTCTTACCTCTTATGACTACTGCCACTGCTGCCCTCGTTTTGTTTTGTGCTCTGTCTCATGAAAGACATCACCATCTGCCCAGTTGTCCGAGCTAAAAGAATGTAAATAATTCTAGATAACAACATTTAAACTTCGCAGCCACTCCACAAGGCCCATCTATTCTCCACCTCTTCCCCTATCTCTGCCACCCCACTACATTGGAGAAAGCCTGCTGTCATTTCTCACCTGTGCTATGTCCACAGCTCCTCTACTGATCTCCCTAACTGCATCCCCCAGTCCTCCCCCATGCAACCTCCACACTCCAACAAGGTAGATTTTTTAAGTCAAAACCTGATTACCAAACTCTCCTTCCCAAAGCTCCTGCCTGATAGCTGCACACTTTCTTCAAGATGAAGCACATGAAGTGAGGCCCCACCCAATCTGGCCTGACTTCCCTTCCTAGGCTCTCCCATCCTACCTCTCACTATTTTGGCAGACTTAAAAATGCCAAAAATTGTTTTAAATTTAAAACAACTTCCCTTGGGTAGAAGAGCCATTCCATTGACATAATTACTCTCATTACTAGTTTCACTACATATATTACTCCTTTAACTCTCATAGCCCAGGCTAGGACCTTTCAGGACCTCAAAAGACAAATGTATTTTATATTTGCTTTACTTCATCAAGGGCCCAAAGAGTTAATAGGATCTACGGGAGAATCCCAACCCTGACCCCACACAGGCCAAGTTCAGCAGAGAAGGGAATCCTCTACTCCTAAAGTATCTATCTTCATCAAAGCTCTAGGGCCAGAACCAAATGCTTAGTGTCACCAAATATGTGGCAGTTTCTGAGGGAAGAGTAGATGAAGAATACGTGGGTTGTAGCCTTGGCAGGACATCAGCCAGTACATGCCAGGTGTCCAGAACATGTGGCCTAGGACTTTCAACTTGTTTAGGAAAAACTGCCCATCGGTTGGGTAGTCACAACAGTCTGCTGACCATATCTAGTGGAAAACTCCCACTAGACAAATTGTGTCCTCTCTCAAAGCAAACAGTGTTGACTTCTTTTTTTTCTTTTTTTGCTTCAGTGTTTTTGTTTTTATTCTTTTCTATCTTTCTTTTTTATATACTTTAAGTTCTGAGACACATGTGCAGAACATGCAGGTTTGTTACATAGGTATACACATGCCATGGTGTCTTGCTGCACCCATCAATCCATCAACTACATTAGGTGTTCCTCCTAATGCTATGCCTCCCCTAGCCCCCCAAACCTTGACAGGCCTCAGTGTATGATGTTCCCCTTCCTGTGTCCATGTGTTCTCATTATTCAACTCCAACTGAGTGAGAACATGCGGTGTTTGGTTTTCTGTTCTTGTGTTAGTTTGCTGAGAATGATGGTTTCCAGCTTCATCCATGTATCCACGAAGGACATGAACTCATTCTTTTTTATGGCTGCATTGTATTCCATGGTGTATATGTGCCACATTTTCTTTATCCAGTCTATCATTGATGGGCATTTGGGTTGGTTCCAAGTCTTTTCTATTGTGAATAGTGCTGCAGTTAACATACGTGTGCATATGTCTTTATAGTAGTATGATTTATAATACTTGGGTATATAACCAGTAATGGGATTGCTGGGTCAGTGGTATTTCTAGTCCTAGATCCTTGAGGAATTGCCACACTGTCTTCCACAATGGTTGAACTAACTTATACTTCCACCAACAGTGTAAGAGTGTTCCTGTTTCTTCACATTCTCTTCAGCATCTGTTGTTTCCTGACTTTTTAATGATCGCCATTCTAACTGGCATGAGATGGTATCTCATTGTGATTTTGATTTTCATTTCTCTAATGACCTGTGATGATGAGCATTTTTTCATGTTTGTTCACTGCATAAATGTCTTCTTTCGAGAAGCGTCTGTTCATATCCTTTGCCCACTTTTTGATGTTGTTTTTTTCCCTTGGAAAATTGTTTTAGTTCTTTGTAGATTCTGGATATTAACCCTCTGTCAGATGGATAGATTGCAAAAATTTTCTCCCATTCTGTAGGTTGGAATGGGAAAATATCTGATGATATTTTCTTGTGCTGTGCAGAAGCTCTTTAATTTAGTTAGATCCCATTTGTCGATTCTGCCTTTATGGTTTTAGGTCTTATGTTTAAGTCTTTAATCCATCTTAATTTTTGCATAAAGTGTAAGGAAGGGGTCAAGTTTCAGTTTTCTGCATATGGCTAGCCAGTTTTCCCAACACCATTTATTAAATAGGGACTCCTTTCCACATTGCTTGTTTTTGTCAGGCTTGTCAAAGATCAGACGGTTTTAGATGTATGGCATTATTTCTGAGGCCTCTGTTCTGTTCCATGGGTCTACATATCTGTTTTGGTACCAGTACCATGCTATTTTGGTTACTGTATCCTTGGACTATAGTTTGAAGTTGGGTAGCATGATACCTCCAGCTTTGTGTTTTGTTTTTTTTTTCTTTTTGCACTCGCCAGATGCTAGCCAGAGCTCTCCCATGTGAGGTGTCTCCCAGTCAGGAGCATTGGAATCAGGGATCCACTTGAGGAGACAGTCTTTCCTTTAGCAGAGCCTGAATGAACACTGTGCTGGGAAATCCACTGCTCTCTTCAGAGCCAGCAGGCAGGGACATTTAAGTCTGTGGAAACTGTACCCATAGCTGCCCCTTCCTGCCATGTGCTCTGTCCCAGGGAGATGGGCATTTATCTATAAGTCCCTGACTGGGACTGCTGCCATTTTTTCAGAGATGCCCTGCCCAGAGAGGAGGAATCTAGAAAGGCAGTCTGGTTACAGAAGCTTTGCAGAGCTTCAGTGGGCTCTGCCCAGTTTAAACTTCCTGGTGGCTTTGTTTACACTGTGAGGGGAAAACCACCTACTCAAGATTCAGTAGTGACAGATGCCCCTTCCCCAACCAAGCTTGAGAGTCCCAGGTCGACTTCAGACTGCTGTGCTGGCAGCGAGAATTTCAAACCAGTGGATTTTAGCTTGCTGGGCTCCATGGGGGTGGGATATGCTGAGCTAGACCACTTGGCTCCCTAGCTTCAGCCCCCTTTCTAGGGGAGTGATCAGTTCTGTCTCGCTGGCATTCCAGGCACCACTGGAGTATGAAAAAAACTCCTTCAGCTAGCTCAGTTTCTGCCCAAATGCCCACGTAGTTTTGTGCTTGAAACCCAGGGCCCCAGTGGTATAGGCACCAAGGGAATCTCCTTGTCTGAGGGTTGTGAAGATCATGGAAAAGCATAGTGTCTGGGCCAGAGTGCACCTTTACTCATGGCGCAGTCCCTCATGGCTTTCCTTGGCTAGGGGACAGAGTTCCTGACCCCTTGTGAGTCCCAGGTGAGGCAACATCCCACCCTGCTTCAGCTCGCCCTCCATGGGCTGCACCCACTGTCTAACCAGTTCCTATGAGATGAGCCAGGTACCTCAGTTGGAAATGCAGAAATGACCTGCCTTCTGTGTTGATCTTGCTGGGAGCTGCAGACCAGAGCTGTTCCTATTCAGCCATCTTGCCAGCCCACCTGACTTCTAAAGTTGCAAAATGTACCTCTTTCCCACCCAATATATTTGAAACATCCTAAAACACATTTCCTTTCTAGTTCCATGTGGCTCAATGGGGTCTGTCTGGTGGCACAGCCCCCACTTCTTCCCTATCTTCCCAGAGCTGACAGCTCTGTCCTGGGTCCTGGGGCTGCACTGGAATACTAAAGAATGCCTCTTGGGGAGCTTCCTTCTTAATGCACTTTTGCTTCAGCCACAAAATCACTCTCAGCAGATTCTTGAACTGAACCTTCTGAGGTTTGAGTCCCTGGCAGCCTGGTGATGGCCAATGCCTTTGCCACAGGCTCTCCAGGACAGTCTTTTCTAAGCTTTGAATGTCCCAGACCATGTAGCAGTTACACATGCAACATCTTCTGTAGCAGGAAGGCATGCCTCTAGAGCCTTATTTCCCTGCACTGTCTTTTAATCCCATTCAAGAAGGCTAAGTGGAATTTGTAACAGCTTTAATCTCTTCAGTTGGCCCCTTTTGTCTCTAATAAAGTTAGTATTATTTACTGAAACTGAATGTCTCTTTCCTTATACTGTCCCTTTGTTTTCTGGCCAAGGCATCTGTTTTCCTAACATGCTCTTCTAACAAGTCTTATGGGGTCTCCCCATAGTGAGAGACAGCTGTCAATTCCATGAGTTCTGAGTCTGCCAGTGGGTTTCTTTGTTCTACAAAAACTGCTTATTTTTTCTATCTTCGCTTTTCTTAGGGGAATAATAGCAACCAGTATGTTCATATCAGACCAACATCTAACCCAGATTCAGAGTCATCTATTTACATCCAAGCTGGTTCCTCCATTAATATAGTTCCTCTTTCTTGTGTCATCTTTACAGCAAATCCTATACGTCTCTTGGGCATATGACCCCACCATCGCCATGCTACGATTTGAATGTTTGCATCCCTCCTAAAGGTATGTGTTGGAACTTAAACCCCCATGTGATAGAATTAAAAGGCGAGACCTTTAGGAGGTGATTAAGGTAGTAGTTAAGTCATGAGAGAAGTCCCACACCAGGAAGGGGAAGTGGCTGAGACCTCAGTGTGCCCAGGTCTTCTCCAGAACTCATCACCAGGGGAGTCTCCTCCCCTTCTGTGGGAGGAGTGATGACAGAGCAGTAGAGGCCATGTAGAATGTCTAGCAGATATCCCTCCACATGGAGGAAACATCAGTAATGGTGTTTTCACCTACTCCACATGAAAGTAAAGGGTAAATAGAGTCCACACCCCAACCACTGAATATTGCTATACTCCCTATGTTTAATCATTTCTTTTTAAAAAAGCATTTTATTATTTATGTATTTATTTTGAGACAGAGTTTCACTCTGTCATCCAGCCTGGAGTCTAATGGTACAATCATGGCTCACTGCTATATTATAGGCATGAGCCTCCGTGCCCAGCCTCATTTATTTCCCCACGCATGTAATTATTGTTTTAGTATTGGCATTCTACATGAAACCATTAAGGACATCAGGGCAAAGACCTTGTCCATTTGAGTCACCACCATAATTCTTGAGCCTGGCACCATGCCTGGCACATTAAGGCAACTTCATTAATATTTGTTAAAATAACAGTTCAGATCAGATACATGTCATGTCATCAAAAAGAAAATCACTTATTTGTGACATTTACAAATGACTGTGTCTGCAGTACACAGTTTCATTGTTATTTTGTTTTCTGGAGGCTTCAGTTAGCCCAATACTTGTAGGGCCCCCTTCATTTTGTATCTGGAGACAGCAGCACAGGCTGCGAAATGGCAGGTGTTACAGTTAATAAAAGACACCACTGAGCCCAATGAGGCATCTGAGTGTTTTCTCACTGAATGCTGTATTGTTTCTGAATATTCCTAACTATCTAAGATTCACTCGTGCAAGGAAAAACCATATTTACAATGATCCCAAATATACCTCCCATGGAGCATCAACCATTTCTTCAAAATAAAATTAAAGTTCCATGCCCGTTTTTCCATGAAGCCTTGACTTACTGAAAGCTACTGTCTTCTCCTGCCAGCCTACTGCAGTATACCAACAAAGTCCTCAGTTCTTAAAACCGCCGAATCTAACCATGAGGCATCCCAGCAACATCTTCCCTCATTCCTCTCCCTGTTATCTTTCTGTCAGTCTGACCTTTCTTCTCGGTGATCCTCACCAATGCCTTTGAGGCTTCCATGCTTCGAGCCTCAGCCCTTTCTCTTCTCACTTTACCATCCTGCCTTATACAACTCCATCTTCTCAATCCTTAGGACTCCCAAACATCTTCCTTAGACAGAATTTGACACCTCCTATTAGACACAGGTACCCCAAGCTGATCAGGAGCCAAACTGAATTCACTGTCATTCTCAGGCCTGTTCTTCCTCCTGGAGTCCTCATATCCTAAGACAGATGTCTCTGTCTGCAATATCAGATCCACGTTTTCTTTTTTTTTTTTTCGAGGCTGAGTCTCATTCTATTGCTCATGCTGGAGTGCAGTGGCACAATCTTGGCTCACTGCAACCTCTGCCTCCCAGGTTCAAGTGATTCTCCTGCCTCAGCCTCCTGAGTAGCTGGGATTACAGGTGCTCATGACCATGCCTGTTTTGTATTTTTAGTAGAGATGGGATTTTACCATCTTGACCAGGCTGGTCTTGAACTCCTGACCTCAGGTGGTCTGCCTGCCTTGGTCTCTCTAAGTGCTAGGATTACAGGTGCAAGCCACCATGGCCGGTCCCACATTTTCTAAATATGTCTCCACTCCACACTGAGCCTTCTTTATTCCTGCCATCAACATCTTCATCTGGGTCCCTATTCTTTCCCATTAGAACTGCCACAACAGTCTTTAACTGATCACTTTTTCTCTCTAGTCTTGACAATTTTATGTCTATGCTCCTGCTGCCAACAATGTTATTAAAGATCTAAATCGAATTATGTTGCTCCTGCTTAAAATTCCTTCTCTGGCTCCCCAGCATCTGCAGAATAAAGGCCAAGGTCACTAGAAGGGCACTTAAAGTCCATCTAGATTCGATCCTTGCTCACCTTTCACCATTACTTGCCACCTATCCTCACCTCAGAACTATCTTTCAGCAATTTATAGCAGCTTAGAGTTCCCTAAGCTCATGTAACCAGTAAGAATTTTCTTCGTGAGGCACTTGAGAAACATCACATTTATTTTTCTAGATCAAATTAAAACTGTCTCGGCCTTTTTTTTTTCAGCCGTGTTGGTGAGAAATTCAATCCCAGTCACCTCTCAGTGCCATAAGAATCCCAATTCTGTAAAGGCTCACACGGGAAAGAGACCTTCTCCCCAGTCCACGTGGTGAGCTTTATTGTGTCTGTTCTTCTGACATAATGCCTATGTCAAGGCTCTCTGCAGGGCATGTGCAAATGCTTTTTCCAGAAGGTAATAGTAACAATGGCATATACGTCTATGGCAGTGCCTACTACATGCTAGCTCCTGTTCTAAGCAATTTGCATGTATTAGCTTACATATTCCGCATAGCAATTCTAGGAGATAGGGTAGCAGAATATTCTGCCCCCAAAATATGCCACTTTGGCATGAGGATTATTTTGAGTCAAAGACAATAGAGAAAAAGCAGATGTAAGACAATCTTTCTGTCTCCTTTCTGTTGCCTAAAAGCAGGACATGAATTGTGTCCAAAGAGGACAAAAAGTTAATCACCAGACATAACTTAAGACCCTTATCCTGGAGCTGGCACCAGAAGAATCTATGTAATGAACTTCACTATTAGCCTTGACTTGCCACCAGTTTCCCATATTATTTGCCCTCCCTCTATGGGCTACCTTAGAGACTCGAGCTTCCCTTTACTTTGTCTTGTCACTTCTCTAAAAAGGTATTGTTTTGTGCAGAAGATGCTGTGTTAGCCACAGTTCTAAATCACCTCTTTGAAGTATCCATTTTGGGTATTCTCATATGTTACATGCATAATTCAACATGTTAATAAAGGTGTTTGTTTTCCTCTTGTACCATTCCCACCGTATGATGCCTCTTTTTCATCTGTCTTTTGTTACAGAGACCCCAGTGGAGAACTTAGAAGGATAAGGGGAAAATTATCTTTCCTTCCCTGCTACAATTCACACCAGCCCCATTTTGAATGTGGGGAAGCCACGGCACAGAGATTTAAGCCCAAGCGTGCTAGTAAGTCTGGGATTTGACACATCAGCCTGACTCCAGAGTCCCTGCTCTTAACACTGCACTCTACAGCCTCTTGTTAGTGATATCGCTTTGCACTGGTTGCAGGGTTGTCCACAGAGGAACTTGGCCATTGCTCCAAGACCACTGGACTTGTCCACCACCTCCACACAAGCAACCACGGACCATTCCCACCGTATGACGCCTTCCTATCCTGTACTTAAGGAAGTCCCCATCAAACTCTTGGAAGTTTGAATCCCTATCAAATGCTAAGAAGCTACCACACCCCTCTCAGGTCACTTTCCTTTTCAATCCAAAGTATCAAGATTGCTCTCCTTCTCCCTCATCCTTCAACTCCAGATGACTCCCTTGATGGCCCCCAGGCTCTTCCCATGGCTCCAGGGCATTTGACTGGCTGTCTTCCTCTTCCCCTTTCTTGGCAGTCCATTCCTCTAGCCTCCTGTTGTTTCTTCACACGCAAAGCAAGTGTATACTTTAGGATCTTTATACTTAGCTGTTCCTGCCACCTAGAACTCATTCCCTAAGACAAACCTTAAACCACAAGCCCTGTCAGACTGTTCTTGGGGCACGAGGCAAGAATTTGAAGTTTCTTGTTTCAATATTTTGAACCTACTGCACCACTAAGAATGAAACAGAAATGAACAACTCAATAGCTTATATTGCCCTACAAATCTTGCTTTTCCTGTTACCGGAAGAGAAAAACTCTGGAAAGCTTATTTCTTTTTCAAAATATAGCTTTGCATGGAAGCCCTTTCTGCCGTCTTTTTTGGTTCTACATCTACTCTGGAAAGCTTATTTCTTTTTCAAAATATAGCTTTGCACGGAAGACCTTTCTGCCTTCTTTTTGGGTTCTACATCTGCACCTTGAATATATTCTATTGTTGTGCTTGCCAAAACACACTGTAATATTCTTAATATTTTTTATAGTTGTCTCTTACATAAGATTGAGCTCCTTGGGGGTAGAAATGGACTCTTATGTAACTCTGTATCCCGGGTCCTTAGCAAGATGCCTAGAAAATACAGGTTGAGTATCCCTTATCCAAAATGCTTAGCATCAGAGGTGTTTCAGACTTCATGTTTTTTAGGATTTTGGAATATTTGCATTATAGACTTACTGGTTCAGCATCCCTTATCTGATAATCCAAAATGCTCCAAAATCAAAACTTTTTGAACCCTGACATGATGCTCAAAGGAAATGCTCACTGAGCATTTCTTATTTTAAATTTTCAGATTAGGGATACTCAGCCTGCAATAAATATTTAAAATTGTTTGATTATTGAAGTGAACTAGAGCAAGGGCAGTGTTGTAATTAGCATTATCTTACCATCTCTCCACCTTCACTGCTATCCCCCAGGCCACAAGCTTCTGTCATTCTGTTCCTAGATTAGCGCAGTGACCTCCCTGTCTGCCACAGTGCTTTCTACCCTTTTCCCTTTACGCATTTCAGTTTATTTTCAGCCCAACAGCCAGGATAATCCTCTTAAAATCTAAAACAGATAAAGTAGCTCAAAACTTCCCAATGGTGCCCACCTCAATCAGAAAGCCCTTCATGGCCTACACCATTGTCTATGATCTGCGCCCCCTCCCTCATACTTATCTGATCTCACCTTCTGCTATTCTGCTCAGCACTCCAGCCACACCAGCTCCCTGTCATCGCCCAACAGTCCCAGGGCCTTTATATACTTCCTATCCCCTCAGCCTGAAATGTTCTCCCCCATATATCATCATGGCTAACTCCCTCACCTCTTTTTTTGTGTAAATACCACCTTCTCATTGAAACCTTCCCCGATCACCCCATTGTAATTACAAAAGCATTGTAATTGCTTTACTTTTCTTCATAGCATTTTTTTCACTTTGTATATAACATGATATGATGTAACATATTTATAATACACTGCATAATTTCCTCGTTCATCTTTATGTCTGCATCCTTCACATGGAATGTAACCTCCATGAAGACGTGGCACCTAGGAGGCTCTCAATAAATCTGTGTTGAGTGACCGATTCTTAGACGGAAGGAGCCAATGTCTACTCTCACTTCTGCCACTAATGGAACAAGTCATACAACCTAACTGTCCTCAGCTGCTTTAGCTCTGAAATAGGTAGAGCTAGAAGATCTCTTAATAGGAGATTTATACTGGTACCCAAAAGAAAATCTAAGATTTTTTCCTATCCACTTTTTGTCTCTTGTGTTCTTTAACAATAATAGTGGCAGTCAGCATCACAATGTCAAAACATCTATTGATCCTTACACATAAGAATTATGTGTAATTCTGGGAAAAATCCAATCCCTTGCTCCAATAGTGGCCTAATTCTTGATAAAGAGCTACACGTACACAATTCCACATAACAACACATTGTGCACCCTCACACACATACAAAAGTGAGAAAGCATCACAAATGCTCTGCACCAGAACTCCTATCTCCAGACTTTGGAATCTTTCCCAAGCTTTGGCAAACATCTATTCAGCCCTATTCTCTAGGTGACCTCGACCTCAAATGTATTCAGGGACTTGCCCCACATCCAGAACTCTCCAGATTGGATCCTCCTCCCCTTTCCTGGGCTTCCTAGGAAAGTCTCTGCTACTATGTTTCCATTTTTGACTCACTTCCAGGTGCCTCTGAGAGGTTGCTTTTGCCCTGTTTCCTATACTTTCTAGGCTCCTGTCCCAAGCCCTTTGCTGATTCACCTCCTAGGCTCCACAATGGCCATAGCAAAGCTTCTCCAATTATGCAGATTTCCTGCTGGGACACCAGTCTGTGTCTTTTATACATGCAGGGACTCAGCTAGACCCTGGGTGAGATATTATAATGAATAAGACATTACCCTTGCCCTCCAGGTGCTTACAGACTAATAATACCTATAGAACTAATTAACTTCGAAGGAAATAAGAGGAACCATCCTCGGTTGTCCCATTTTTGCTAACATTCAGGTTACACAAAGCCATATGACTTGCTTCCAAGTCTTTGTAAATAAATACCAAGGAGAAACCACTGCCAAATCAATACATTTTAATTGGAAGTGTTTATGAAACCCAGGAGAGTTTCCTAAATGTATTAATTGCTTCCCAAGGAAATATAAAATTCACAATTACTAAAACCAGGAAAATTAATACAATGACAGCTCTAAAAGATTGCTTTGTAAACTGTTGCTAAATACATGAAAATAAACCAATTGACCTTTTAAAAAGTTAAAAAAAAAAAAGCTCCGATGATCAGTATACAAGAATTGTTTGCCTTGAGAATAACCAACTCACTTAGGACAGCACTGCACTTCATTTAAGAGATTGCATCAACTGTATCACTAGTTTTAAAAAAGTTATTTCAACAAAGAAGGTAGCCAAAAGGTTAGATGTAAATTATCCTCCGCTTCCTTGTACTCCTACCATACATTAGTGCAGGTAAAAAATTCTCTATTAGTTCTGAATTTAGACTTTAAAAAGCAGTTTGAAGTAAAAAAAAAAAAAATAGCAATTATCTTTCTGTATCCTAAGATTCTTTTTTTCATTTAAAGTTTCCATTAAATTGCATCAGATGATAAGATGAAGGGCCAGTTCTCCATAAAATACCAGATTTGCAAAGCTTTAAAAACCTGAAATTTTCCCTGGAAAAGAACCTTCTCATTTGCATTTGGATGGCCAGTCTTTCAATAAATATTTCTGAGCAGTCTCTATGTGGCTGTTGCTGTGTGAGAGGGATAGCAGAATAGACAGAAAGACCCAGTCCCTGGCCTCAGAAGTGCACAGTCTTAGGAGAACAGGGGTATTAGCTTCATTAACGAGAGCCCAAGAGAAGCAACAATTAAGTCTGCCCACCAAGGACCAAACACTTCATCTGAGAATTGAAGGATGAATAAGAGTTTGCCAGGCAGTCAAGATGGGCAAGGGCATTCCAACAGAAAGACTAGCATAGACAAAAGACACAAAGACCTGAGAAAATGGGCCAAGGTCAAAGAGCAAGTAGCTGATACTAGACCCTACAGTATGGGGGAGTCCATGGAACATGGGGCTAGACAAGTGAGCAGAAAACAAATAAAAATCATGATTCATCATTGAGCACTTATAAGGTACCAGGTACAATGACTGGTATTTTACATAGATTATTTGATCCCCCAAAAACCCTTTAAAATAAGTACCATTATTATCACCCCAATTTCATAGACAAGGAATGTGAGACACAAGAAGGTCAAGTTACTAGTTGAAAGTTTCATAGCTACTCAATGGCTCTGAAGCAACTTCTTCGTCTCTGGAGTCCACAAGTTTAACCACCTTTCAAATTGGGAAAGATATTGCAGACCAAGCATAGGAGTTGAAAAGTATCTTTTAGGCAATGGGAAGCTACTGATGAATACTGGCATGGATACTGAGTATCCTCATTTGAAATGTACAATAAAATGATCACTGTGGTGCTCTAAAAGATAGATATTTTAGTTTTTCTTGTTTGTGTTTTGGGGCAGGGGCAGCAGGAGGACAGCAGAGCACAGAGGCCAGAATCCCCTCTGTAATGAAGAAAATGCAGTTCTTAGTAAAAGAGAAAGCAAAGGCCTGACTTGGGCAGTAGCAGTGCAGACGGAGCAAAAGGGGTAGATGTACCCAGTTTTAGGAAGTAGAAAAAAGGAAGACTTGGATATTGGATGTAAGACAGGTAAGTGAGAAGCATCAAGTATTGAGAAGGGAACATCTCTTTCCCACTCCAGATGTTTCCCTAAATATCAAAGGACATCAATTAATACAAACTTTCTGGCTTATCTCTGCCCTCTTACTTCCATGCCCTTCCAACTATAGCATTTTATATGATGGTGAATTTGGCAGGAACGAAAAAGACATTCCTGTTCCTCCTCTCTTGGTGGCAAGTTGCCCTTAGAAAGCACGTTTTCTACTCTGCATTTCAACAGAGTAAGGAGCCTTACAGTTATAGAAAATAAACTCAGTGCCTTCCCCCTCAACCACTACAACTGATGCATGAACCAGGAATATTGAGAAATGAGACAAAATGTTGACAATTAAGGATGCATAAGTCCTAAGCCTTTGGTGGTAACTGTGATTTGAGGCTGTTTGGTGAGTGGAGAAGCTTAGATCTTCCAGGTGGCAGGTTTTGACAGTTAGGCAGTTGGTTTTTAGCTGCCTAGCAGGACAAGAGGCCATATGCAGTCTTTCCCTTGGCTGATCTTTGCTTCTTGTGGCTTATTCCACAATCAAGAGAATGGCCTGCACAGAACCCTTAATTGCATTTAAGGTCACAGACTGTAGTATGTTTGTGTATTATTATGTAATATGTTTCAGTGTCTTGTAGGCAAGCAATACTAAAGGGGAAAATAATTTTAAAACTTTCAAATGCATGGGATAACGAAGAGAAAAAATACGCTCTATTAAGATCCAATGATAGGAGCTGCCTCCATTGGACATTGTTATTCTTTCTCAGGGGTCACCAATGTCTCAAACAGCATGTCAAAGGGAGAAGACAGGTATATAGGGAATGTTTTCTCTCAGGTATGCTAAGGTCCCAGTGCCCAAATTAGATGACCTCTTGCTGGAATATTGCTCTCAGAGAAATTGCATTTAAGGTCACAGGTTGTGTGTTTTGGACAACTGATATCAATTGACTGGCTTCCTGATACAGCTGAACTCTTCCTCTTTTGGGACTCCACGCAGTGACCATTGTATTTCTAGCTTGTGACAACTCTTAAGTAAAATACTGTGTTCTGAGAACACAGTTTTACCAGGGATAGGGAGCAACAGTTCAAAGGCTGAGGGATGGTTTATTTTCTAAGCAATGATCTTGAATGCCCTATCCACTCAAGAGTCTTTACAAAAGGTATTCATGAAGACTTGGAATTCTATCAAGGCAACTGCTGAGGTACAGAAGAACTCCCCAATTCTACTTAGATTCTACCCGGGCTACAGTCTCTGGAAAATTCCCAATCTATTCAGAATCCAGAGCATCTCTCACTAAAACTAATCAAAATAACAAACTAAGGAGGATGAAATATTGATTTTAATTTCCTTGGACTTTCAAATCACAGTAGCAAGAAAATATGATTTTGGTCTTGAATTCATCTGGATTTATTAAGGCTTTAGATTTTCATTTCTCCCTAGACATCTCACAGGGAATTGATATTCACTTTGAATGCATCTTTATAATGTCGGTATTTTGGTTTTGAAGTATGGTAATGCTGTCCTTTAATCCCACTGCAGGACATGGGGTATGTGCCATCATCATCTGTGATAGAAAATAGAGCAAGGGTGAATAGATGGCCTTGAAAACCAAGTGGCCTAGGAGTTAATTCTATGGAATTTGTCTGATCCATGTTAGAGCCTCCTCAGAGCAAAATCCTCATTGCCCACCTGTGGCTCCAGGATGATCTCCCAAGAAGCAAGGGAAGCAGGAGGTGGGAGCGGGCTGATCCAACAGGCTGCTGCTTTGCCTCTGAGCACTGGGAGAGCCCCGTTCTAGCTTAATGAACCAAATAGCTCATTAAGATCAATAAAATAAAAATATGGTAACTAATGTAAAAGGAGTGACTCTTCCCCACTGTTGATGTTCCCCTTTACGTGAAGGGCCATCAGTTAGAATAACATACCTGGCCTTGTTCGACCTCTTGACTTTTTTAGCCTAATCCCACCCTGTACCTAGCAGCAAAATATTCTGGGTCCAGGCACAAGTATGTTTTAAAAGCTCCCCAAAATTTTAATGTGTAGAGAGAGCTAAGAACCAATGAACTAAATGACCTCTAAAGATACTTTCTAACTCTTTTTTAAAAAAATGCTGTGACACTACCAGCAGTTAGAGAAAAACAACTTCAAGGCCCTTGGGACACCCTTTTCTAGCAGCCCTGAGGCTCCAGTGCATAGTGTGCAATCAGCCTTCTAATGGGAGAAAAACAATACAAGGCTTCACATGTTGGTCCCAAAGCTTGCCTCTTCTGGCTGCCCCACCATGTCACTGCCATACAATCAATGGAAAAACTGTTCTTTACCGTAACTTGAGAGGGAGATAATCAGGAACAATCCAGCTACACCACAGCCTAATCAAAATGACTGATATTTCTAGGGCTGCGTTAATCAAGCCTTCAAGTAGATAGACACTTAATGGTCAGACCCATTCTAGAAAGATTCTGCCTTGGCAGTGGGAATCTTTTATAAACGGAAATTCTCCATTCAGCCTTCCCTCTCACCTAAGTGCAAAATCCATCCTAATGGTAGCATCTGTTGTCTGCAGCAAACAGAGTTGATTACAGATGCTCTGAGAGGAATTTAAGTCTTTTCGCTTGCTACTCAGGAGGTGACCGTGTGATGGGAAACAGTAACTCTTTTTAGAAAATAAAAAAATCTTTGGCTAAACAGTGACTACAATAATAAGGTAAAAGACACATCGCTGTATAAAATATTAATATGTGTTGGATTTTTATCTCTTTCTTCAGTACTAAATATGGCCAATACCAATACATGCACTGTCTCTTATAGCTACAGAACAGGTGTGCAGGTAACTGGTTACCAAGCAACGTATCGGCTGGGGATTAGAGCACACACTTGCATGGGCATAACTCTGAATAATGCAAACCTTGTTAAGTGATACATTTTTCATTATCCTAGTATCACATCAAGTTCTATCCCACCTTTTTTTTTTTCTTCTTTAATCTAGGGAACATATTTCTATTAAGAACCTTGAAGAAACCTTATCATCAGATATTTCTTTTTTATTAAAAACAATGAAAAGAACAGATTCATTATATCTTATCCATCAAACGTGTTATCTACCCAAACATCTGTTCAGTTTTTGTTGTCGTGTTTAGAAAGAATAATTATCCAGCAGACCTTATAAGAAATGAATTCTGATGGAGGGAATGAACTTTACTAATGACTTGCATTTATAGCTCCTCAAGGAAAAAGTTACCTATTCTCATAATCCTGTTTGTTCTTTCAAATTAAAATGTCTTTGGTGGTTATTTTAGAACTTAGAGGGTTTTTAAAAACTAGCTCTCAAAAGTCTTCTGATCCTTAATAAATATGATCAAAATATATTTATTTAAAATGCTTATAACTCCTCAGTCTCTGAGTATACAAAATGCTTCTGCTGTTTCCCTTTACCTTCCTAATTTAAATATCCTGAATGGAGAACTCTAAATAACAACTAGAAAATTCTTAATTTATAGGAAATTTCTGATACTTGTGATGACATTATTTTTCTTTTTTTAATTATAAATAAATGTTGTGGAGAAAATTAGCAGAGGATGGAAGGAGGGAGAGAAGGGGAGGAGGGAAATAAAAAAGAAAGTAAAAAAGAAGAAGAGTATTTAAAAGGGGTCCTGATTCCTCCTTTCTTTGGAAATGTTAGACAGGTAGGAGCTCTGTTTCCGTGACCCTTTTGTATATTTCATAGAATGGCTTGGTTTCTTAAAGCCTACTTTGCAATTGTTGCAGTGATCTGCCCACTCTAGAGAAGGTATATGAAGTAGAAATGGAATATGAAGAGACATTGGTACAAGGGAACAAGGTGTGTATTCCTATCCTTAATTTTAGAGTTATATATCTGTGACATTAATTTTATCACAAAAATGGACAAGTTCATTTTTCTAAACCTGGAAAGATGCCAGTGGGGTTCTATCTTAATTATGAGGACAGAGGGAAAAAAAAACCATTTTACCCAGAGCATGCTGGTAAGGTCTTAGTTATGAATATAGAGAAAAGACACGTTTTACACAGCCTTTGGAGTTCATGTGAGGCTGCATACAATTGCTTGCCTCAGAGAACGGAGCAGTGGGAACTTGCTTCTGACCTGGTGGCTCACTGAAGCTCAAACTGGCAATTTTATAAAATTTCCAGCAGCTTTGTAACTGTGTCTATTATTTATGATTCAGCATCTTCAAATTTATCTACGATATACTTAACTTGAGCTGAACGCTAAGAAATGGCAAAGTTGGCAGCTTCATATTTTGTAGGCAACAAGCTATGAAAGCTATTCCTACTCCCTACATCTGCTCTTTATTTTAGGAAGGAAATACAATATTCTCTGTTCTAGGGGTAGGATGGAGAGTCAACACATAATTCCTTGATGTGAAATGAACGTTTCTTTTACATAAATTTAAAATTCATATGTTATATTTGATACTATCCTTATATATGTAAAATAAGTATCTAGAATTTATACCTCTACCAAAAAGCAAGGTGAAACAGCTTTTATTCAACATGCTCCCATAAGATACACACAGTTACATTTCCTCCATCACTGTTTTTCTCTGGTAATTTTTTTTCTCCCAGATCTTTCCTAATAGAATCATTGTGTGAAAAGTTCTTTTGAATACTAAGTCATTAGAGTTGTTTTAAGAAAAATACAGGTAACTATAGGCTACCAGATATGTGAAGCTTTAATTTTGTTCTAAGATCTTTCTGTTAAATGAAAAAAATATATTGTTATCCATATATCTTTACTATTTAGGGCATTTCAAATACCGTATCTATATACATAGTCTTCTTATAATTTTAGCTGGTTTATATAAAAAAGATAATTCTTCAACAATATTATTTCAACCAAAAAGCACACTTGAAAGATACTCATTGCAAGGAACTGTATCTTCCTATCACAGATAGTTGTGCTGACCCAATACACAGATAGATTTATGAACATATATCACTGACACCCCAATTCATACACTCATAGAATCTTACAATAATTATGTAACAAAGAAATCACACAATCTAGGTAAAATTTTTAAAACTAAATTTTTCTAAAATCATTATCTGTCTAATATGTCTTGATTAGTAATATTCTTTACTCCAGAAACAAACTTTTTCTAAATTTTTTGCCTAAATTTGTCTCCACTTCTCAGAATCCAATAATAAATGAAAAGGAGAAAAAATGGTCTATAAGCCTCTTTTCTTTTGAAATCTTTACCACTGAAAACAATTGTGTTACACTTCAGAATTGAGCCTTTAGATGTATAAATTAGCCAGTATTGCCTAGCTTGTTGTTATTTAAAAGGGCTATATAGACTTGCTGTTTTCTTTAAAATAAAAACATCCAAATTTTAGATTTGCAATATGCAAAAATAAGTCATAATTTACATTTTATATCAACTTCAAAACAAACAAAACAACACATTTGTGAGACTCAAAATGAATTAACAGCACCTGCTGTTAGTCTATCTCCTCTTATGAATCACCTTTCCTCCTCTTCCTGTGCCCCCGGAGCTGCTTGAGAGCCACAGCCAAACTAGTTGGCTTTGTTTAGCAAAGAATATGCTCAGTTTCACCTTGAAATCTGAATTTATTAAAAGGTATAGAACTTTCTACTTTAAACATTGTTATCCAACTCTTATTCCCTGAAAAGTTGAAATGCAATCTAAACACTATTCTCAGAGTGGACACCTGTATAATTACATTTGCAGTTTATTGCATTTTCTTAGGTTGTTTGAATCTTTCTCAGAACTCACGTAGGCCAAATATGTTATTACTGAGAGAAAATTTATTAGAATGTCTACTATGCTCGTATTTAAAATGTCAGCCTCATGATTCATTTCCTTTTGTCAATTCTCCTATATGCTTGAACATGTGATTAACAAAGTCTTTCTTTTTTATTTATTTTTTTGAGATGGAGTCTCACTCTGTTGCCCAGGCTGGGATGCAGTGGTGCAATCTTGGCTTACTGCAACTTCTGCCTCCCATATTCAAGCAGTTCTTAGCCTCCTGAGTAGCTGGGATTACAAGCACCTGCCACCATGCCTGTCTAATTTTTTTGTATTTTTAGTAGGGATGGGGTTTCACCATGTTGGCCAGGCTGGCTTCAAACTCCTAACCCCAAGTGCTCTGGCTGCCTCAGCCTCCCAAAATCCAAGGATTACAGGTATGAGCCACAGTGTCTGGACATTAACAAAGTCTTTGTTAACAAAATCTGCTGGCGGGGAAGGCAAGGGTCTCTAGAAGGAAGAGATTTGAGGGATAGGAAGGATGCAGGTCTGTGAATAGGCCAGGGTAGGACTAAAGGAGAGGTCCCTGGGCCAGCCCTCAGACTGAGAACCCCTCGGACAGACAGGAACAATGCCCCATCATCCTTACCCCAAACACACCTGGAGGACCTGCGTGTTGTCTTTCTCCTTGACAATTGAGGAAGGAGATCTAGTCCCCTGAGAAACAGATAAAAGACGTCAGTATCCTGAATTGCATTACCAGTACTATTTTACCACCTACTAATTACTTCTCTGGTCTATAGAATGTGTCTTTTCCATTATCAGCTACAAGTTTAATTTCATATGTGGGTACTTACAAGTACATATTAAAGAGAATCAATGTTTATTAAGTACGTTCTTGTACCCGGTGCTTTATTTGCATTTCCTTATTTACTCTCCTCTACACCCATGTGTAGTTGTATTCTTACCCATCTATTGTATGTGAGAGAAGCAAAACTCAAAAAGGCTAAGTAGCACACTTATGCAAAGGAACACACTTGTGAAAAATTGGTCTGGCATTCAAATTTAGGTCAGATTCCAAAGCCCCTGACCTTTCTACAACATCGTGGAGATTGGTGAGATATAGATTTCCTCATAAGCAGAGGAAACTGAATTTGGCATTGAATAGCGTCATCCAAATTCTTACCTCTGAAAATAGTTTTGGCAGCTCCTCAAGTAACTGCTTTGTATTTTGTTGCCCAAGATTCGTTTCTGTTTGATTACATTTCCAATATTTAAATACATTGAAGATTTTATTGATCTGCTAACATTTAAATTAGTTTTTGCATCTTTCCTTGTGACAATTTTAGGTCATGGAATTTCAGAACAGAGTCATGATTATAAAAAAAGAGTTTCCCCCATATGTAAAAAGATTATATTATACACAGAAAAAAAAGGCCAAAGATGAAAGCTCTGAAACTATGTACTTCCAGAGGGGGATCCAACAAATACCTTTACTAAATCACGTTGGGAGCTGATTAAAATTCGAAATCTTGAACCCCGCCCTACAGATACAGATACATGGGACCCTATTACCTTTTGTGTTTAAAAAAACACAAAAGTTCAGGAATCACCACTATGGACAATGTACTATGAAAGAAGTTACGCTGTGAAGACCCAAACCTTGGAAGTTTTTATACCCTGAAATTTCCAAAGAGTGTCACTTTCAGTTCCAGAGGTCTTCGATTTTAAATGGATGTAGGTGAAACTGAACTTTTTCTGTGCAAATACACTAATTATTTCTTTGGGGAAATAAGAGTCTTGACCATGTTATTATTGACATGAAGCATGGTAAATAAGATTAACTCATTCACATTTATCACAAATTAGCAAACTAGTACATGTACAAAATCTAAGGGGGGATCCTTAGGCCACTGGCCCCCTGTCTTCCTCTCCTTCCTTTTCTTCCTGAATTAATCTTATTCCTCTATCACTGTGAATATGTCTGCTTCCCCCCCACCCCACTTTTTCCTGTTTCATAGTGATTATACTTAAAACCTCATATGCCAACATAAACCTCATATGTATAGATTAATGTTTTTTCTCAAATTTAGGAAGTTTTTGGCCATCAATTCTGCAAATATTTTTTTCTGACCCCTTCTCTCATTACTCCCTTTCTGGGACTTCCACTACCTGTATATTGGGGGTTTGTTTGTTTGTTTTTGAGACAGAGACTCTGTCACCCAGGCTGGAGTACAGTGGTGAGATCTCGGCTCACTGTAACGTCCACCTCCCAGGTTCAAGCAATTCTCCTGCTTCAGCCTCCCAAGAAGCTAGGAATACAGGTACACACTACCACACCTGACTAATTTTTGTATTTTTAGTAAAGATGGGGTTTCACCATGTTGGTCAGGCTGGTCTCGAACTCCTAACCTCAAGTGATCCTCCTGCCTTGGCCTCCTCAAATGCCAGGATTACAGGTGTGAGCCACCACTCCTAGCCTATATTGTTATTTTTGATGTCCCACAGATCTCAGAGCTCTTCATTCTTTCTTAACATTTTTCTCTCTGATCTTTGGACTGAATAATTTCTACTGATCTATCTTCAAGTCTACTGATTCTTTCTTGTGCCATCTCAAATCTGTTCGTTAGGCCTATTTAGTGAATCTTAAACTGGTTATTTTACCTAACTCTAAAATGTTTACCTTTTAAAAATAGCTTGTTTCTCTATTCAGATTCCCTATTTGTTGAAATATTTTTGTAATGTTTTCTTTTACTGCTTTGAATATACTTATAATAGCTACTTTGAAGTTATATAAGTTCAATATCTCGACCCATTCAGAGTCTATTTCTAAGGATAACTTTTTTCCTCTGGTGTATGCATGCATCACTCTATGCTTTTCTTGACTCATAATTATTTTGTTTTAAACTGACATTTTGGATAATATATTGTGGCAACTCTGGATTGTGAGGTATTTTTCTAAAGCCTTTTTTTTCAAAGTAACTTGTACTTAAACTGTGGATTCTGTCCCCCTGTAGTATGAAGAAGTTTATTCTTAACTCAGTTTTTAGGCATTTATTTTTATTTGTCAGCCTGCCTTCTGATGGTTCACCCTTTTACCTGCATACTTTAGTGGTGAGTCAATGATTTGGGTGCAGGCTGTGATCAAACACCTCGTGTATAAAACTTCAACCAATCCGTGTGTGTGTTGAGGATTGCATTCAAAGTTCAACAGGTTTTCAGTTCTTCATTGGCTTCATTTTCCTCTGGCCTTCCCTTGGGTCTTCCCTTCGCATGTGCATAGTTTCCCAGTTAGCTAGGATGTGTGGAGAGCTTATCCTATCCTCTCTATGCTGTGTCATTTCCAAGTTTCTCCAGTTAAACATATGGATGGTCTATTGCTCACCCAGTCAGGACCACAACTTCAAGCTAGCAAAGCTACAGGTTTTCCCCATTTACTTACAATTAAGTTGGCCACTTTTAACTGACAAAGCTTCAAGTTTTTGCCTTTAGTCCAAATCAAGTCTAATCCTCTGTTAGAAAAAAAAAAGATAAGTATTGTTCCAGCCCTCTACTGGTAAAATTATTACTCTTGCTAATCAAGCTGGGATGGAGAGAATGAGAACCTTATAAATTTTTTTCTAATAAACATGACAGTTAATATTAAATTCACATCTAACTGAAACACAAGGTCAGACTTTACAGGTGAACAGGTTAATAAACTAAGATGTCTTCATTTGGGGGGAAGAAAGAAAATAAAAGGACAGGCTCTGATTATTTATCATTAGAAATACTTTAGTTTTTTATTATTATTTTGGCTATAAAGTACTTTTCCTCATTATTTCCTCTGTAATTTAACAGTTAGCCAGTTTCTACCTGACTAATTTTCTCCCACTGTACACACATGGCTATTTATTTTGATCCAAATCTATTGATGATTTTACATATAACCATCATATAGATGGTAAAACACTAGAAAAAAGGGAGTCAAAGTGAACTGGATTCAAGTTTCTGGCTTAGTTGCTCACAAAGCTAAATCATCTCAGCCAAAGTAGACAAAACATAGAGGTTAGTTCACATCCTCTCGTTTTTTTATGTAAGGAACAGCCGTTTGTTGGCTTTACTGAAGAGCCAAAGTGGGTAAGAGGAGGTGAGTCGCAGTAGTAAACCAAAAGTAAAGAAAGAAGATGCTAGTACAAAGTGGCAGTCATTACAAACAAAGAATAAAAAGTCTTTTCCTTTCTGACTTCCTTTAGATTCTAACTTCTCTTCAAAGAAACCAAACATAACAGGTAAGATAAATGCATACATAAGTATAAGCCAATGTAGTCAGTGCAAAAATGTATCATGAACTAAGACAGTCAAGAGATTGCTTTTTGGGGTGGAGAAGAAAGTTGAGAAGAGGGTATCAAGGAGCTTAGGGACAGAAAAAAAATTAGTAGTGTTCAAATTAGAAATTAGTCTTTGTATTAAGGTAAAACTAGATACTCTAACAAATGTAGATAATGTCCTCTTTGGCTAACACAACAGAAGCACAAATCTCGCTCATGTGAGAAACCAATCAGAAGGAGGAAGGAGACGTCAGAGTGACCTTTGCTTCCCACAATCATTAACATTCAAAAATGCAAGCTGATGGAGGCTTCGCCATCTCTAGTATATGGCTTCCAAGATTTCTCTGGGAATCAGTACCTAGCCAATAGTTGGGGAAAGAGAGGAGTGTTTGAGAGAGAGTTATAGAAGATACTTTTACTCATATCCTGTCATTAAAAAATGAGTCATTTAGCTCCTCCTAGAGGGCAGGCGATGAAGGGAGAGGCCTGTTGCTAAATTTAGTTTATGGTAAGAAGGCAACTGCTTCCTAGCAAGAATTCTTTCCTTCAAGAGAGGATCCCAAATCACATGGACAGCTCAATAACTAGTAGACTTTAGGTGATCAAAGGATTGGGGGAGCAATGAGAGGCATGATTGCTATTTATGGTTTTGTCTGTATTTGATTTTGATTTTCCTTTATGCAAATAACCTTTACTCTTCCCAGTCCATATGATTTTCTTGGACTGATAGCAAGGACAGGTATGGAAACCAAGCTCGACCAATCAATACATTCTACCACCAACCACTTTTCTTGATTCAAGGGTGGGTAGGGATGCAATCCAATGAGATTCACACCCAAGACTTTTATAAAAGTTATCAAGAAGACATCTGAGAGGTGTTCTTCTTTCTTTGTTCCAACACTTGCTAAACTGGTGGGATATGTTTGCGACTCCTGGTGCCTACATATTACTTTTCATGGAAAAGCCTACCTAGAAATAATAGTTATACAAAGGAAATAAGAAAAGAAGAGATAGAATAAAATGGCTTTCTTGATCCAGGCATGCCTGATACCAAGGACATTAAATTCTCCTTTTTCTTAAATAAATTGAAGTTGGATTTTTTAAAATTTGCAATTGAGAGCCTTTATTAATATAGGTGAAAAAAAAGAGCCATTTTTTTTAAAAAAAAAGCAGTCTAATTTGTGTGAAATTAGGAAAAATAGAGAAGAATAATAAATGATAAGACTGACAAGTCAGGTTGTGTTTGAAGCATAGACTTCTTTAAAACTTAGGTTAGGAATTTGGAATTTAATGAAAGCCCGCTAAACTGAAGCAGAGAGAGGAAAACAACCGGCCTCAGTTCCCCAAGCCAGAAGGTAGTGAAGTTAGGATTCAGAGCATACCTCTGATTCCCGTACTGCATGTCTAATATAGTAGCTATTAGCCACAGGTAGCTATTAAACTATATTTAATTTAAAATTCAGCTTTTTATTTACCATAGACACATTTCAAGTACTCGGTGGCCATAAATAACTCCTGGATATAGCAGCAGTCTCCAACCTTTTTGGCACCAAGGACCAGTTTCATGGAAGAATATTTTTCCACAGGGTTGGAGTAGGGGCTAGTTTCTGGATGAAACTGGTCCACCTCAGATTATCAGCGTTAGATTCTCATAGGGAGCACACAGCCTAGATCCCTTGCATGCACAGTTCACAATAGAGTTAGAATCCAATGCTGCCACTGATCTGACAGGAGGCAGAGCTCAGGCCGTAATGTTCTCTTGCATGCTGCTCACCTCCTACTGTGTTGCCTGGTTCTTAACAGGCCAAGGACGGTAATTGTTTGTGGCCTGGAGGTTGGGGACCCTGGAGCTATAGTATTGGACGCTACAGATAGAAAGCGTTTTCATTACCAAAGAAAATTCTGTTGGGTAACTGTTTTCTAGAGCTTTCTCTCGCTCTCTCTCTGTCTCTCTCTGTCCCTGTCTCTCTCTCTCTCTGTGTGTGTGTGTGTGTGTGTGTGTGTGTGTGTGTGTGTGTTTATATGACTAAAGAAGGAGGCCAGATTACCACTCATTTAAGTTATTGAACTATATTTGGGATGAAATGCCTGTTTAGAAAACCTAATCCACAACCTAATATTTTCACTTCAGAAACTTATTTGTAAGCCTCCAAAAAACTTATAGTAATTATAAATATAAACAAAAGGAAACCTGGTTGATAAAGAAACTTATAACAAAATTTTGAGAGACTAAAAAATGCTTTTTATACTGGCAACTATAGAATGATCCTATGACTTCAAAATGTAAAAAAATCAATGATGCCAAAGGTTTTCCTTTCTTTCTGACCCTTTCCTTGGCATGCTTTACCCAACACCTGTTGCCTTTATCAGCTTTCCCAAAATTTTATCTCAGGAAATTTCCAAAGAAGCCATATTGGATCATATTTTACCCTCATGAAGCAATGAGATAATTTATGTGAATGAAGCAATGCATAAAACAAAGTACCTCCCATGACCATAAATTACATATCCAGTGAAATGAAATGAAATGCATAGTAAGTATACACATGCTAAAAAGTCTTTTTCATAATGAAGACTGACTCATCCTTTGAAAATAATTTCCTACCAACCATTCTTAATCTACTTAGATTTATAAAATAATCACACGCTTCGACCTTTATTTTCACCTAGCTCACCAAGGCTATCTTCATCTTCTCTAGAACCTACATGGCACAGTTTCATACAAAACCCTTGGAGCCACATCTAATATGCACATTTCAATTGATGGCCAAGATTTGAAAAGGGCAGCCCAGTATTACACTCATTCTGCCTCCACTTCTAGAAGAAAGGATGGGCAAGATTTATGTAGTACTCAACTCTGTTGCGAAGATTTTTTTAGACAATAATTTACAGTTTCTTTCAGTTCCAAGACTTAACAAAGTCAAATTCTCAAATAATTGGATTTAAGGTTATGCAAGACATAACATGTTCAGCTCTATTCCCTGTGCTCCTGCCCCATAATCTGGGTTTATGTCATAAAAATAATTGGCAGTAGAAACAAGGCTGATAACTATACATGTTATCATGCCCCAGGTAAACAGACTTGCAGCTGATACATTCCAATGAATTTCTTTTATGTTGTCTGAGAATTTCAGTGCAGGTTTTAAGAGATTGGAAATAAAAATTACCTGGCTTGATTTAACCTAATGATTGCACAGTTTGTTTAATTATTGTCTTACTGCCAAAGTGTGATGGAAGGTGAATTTCTGGTGTGGGAGGAAAAGGAAAAAGATACTACTAAGAGAATATTATCATGTACTTACTGTTCTCACCTTTCCTCCCTCCATAATCAGCTCTTGAGCCCAGGAGGACCTTCTGACCTATCGGAGAGGCACTCCAGAATCACTTTACTGTGACAGTTAATAAGCCTCATCTCCAGAAGACAAACACAGCAGGCTGTTCTAGACTAACGAGGATGTTCTTACCCAATGCAAATACAGAACAGTGCCACTTTATGAAAAAATCACCCCAAGGAAAAGAATCCTCCAACAAAATTAAGTCAGGTGCTGCTACAACCCACAACCGATAAGCAGGGAAGCCCACCGATGATACCTGTTCTGTCTTTGATGGTCAGTCTTCCTGCTCCATTAAAGAACATAAGCAAAGTTTATCTCTGCTGCCTGCCCATCCTCAGTGGTATCCTTGCCTCTTTGTGTGTGACAGCCACCTACTCTTCCTGGCTAGCTAGGAGGAGCCTCACTCTGGTGCCCACATTTTTCCATTCTTCTCTTTGCAATAAAAAATTCTGTCCTTCTTCCTAGTCCATCCAGGCCCTGGATGACAGGTCCACTCACTGAGCCAGGATACTGATAGCTAATAATTGCCTCGTGTGGTTTCCCCTTCCTAAGATACCTGTCTATTTTTAAAAGTCACTGCCAATATCTTTACCCAAAGAAATAAGTAATGTAGAAACTCCTTATAACCCAGCATGATGTGTTTGACAGGAGAGAAGGAAGAGTGTCTATTCATGTCTCTCAAATCCTAACCAGGATGTCTCTCAAATCATCCCTTATATGCTTGTATTGTAGAGGGCTGCCCAAGCAATGGGACATCCCTGCCCTTTCCATATGCACCAAGGCCAAACTCATTTACTTACCCACCTTTTAGATTCTATGGGGCCAAGCTCCTAAAGTAAGGCAGAGTTTGCGCTAATCAGAGGCACAACAAAACTGGGTGCTGGCAGCTAACGTTGCATGGCCTGTATGTGTCGCATTATGTTCAATTAAGTGACACGACTTTGCTAGACTTTCTTACAAATTGTCACACAGCAAAACGGCAAACATGCTATACCATTTCCTGGTATAGCAGGAAAACCAGATGATGATTATCTGGGTGAGTTCAGCCAGACAAATATCAAGTTTGAACCCCAGGCTCCAGGTACATAAACTAGGGATAACAATATCCACCATCCAGAGCTGTTGGGAAGATTAAATGAGGTGGTCCTGGAAAAGCATCAGGCTCCTCCTATTCACAGAAGGAGCCCAGCAAATGCTCTTCTTTCATCTTGACCTCCAGCTTCAGGATTAATTTCTTATCGAAAGTCCTTTTTACATGAACTCAAATACCCCGAAAAGTGCCTATTTTTGTCATCTCCATAATCACTCACGCTCCTCCTCCTTGCACTATTTGGGCGGTCTCTGGGGAGGGCCAATCCAATCTACTTCCCATCATTCTTTCATGCTGGCCATAGCAATAGATGTGAAAGACTTTATGCAAACTCACACTTGGTCAATAAGAATCTTCTGAGAACAGACCCCAAGCCTTGCACAAGGTACTATCAGGGCTCCTCCAGAGTAATGACAAGGATGGGTTCCATACAAAGCTTCCAGACCAGTTGAGAGAATAGGCTAAGGATATGAAAGACAGACATCAGAAGACAATGTGAGACTGTATATTATTTTCACTATGCATTGTGGGTTGTAGAATCTACATAACAATAATAATAGCTAAAGTTTAATGAGTGCTAACAGCAAACTAGGCACTATTTTAGGTACTTTACAAATATGTGTGCATGGTACTGTTGTTATTTTTATTTTATAAATAAGGAACTATAAGCAGAGAAAGGTCAGGTAATTCACTCAAAATTATGCAGTAGAGGGGCTGCCATCATTATTCAATTCAATAGAGATGTACAGAACACTGCACTGAGCCCAGGGCTGAGAGTGCTGGGTGAGTGTGAGATCAGGGCAGGAATCACATCTACCTGATCTTATTTCCATGGAAGACAGTTTGTTAATTAGCTGACTCATGAATAAAAGAGGGCTTGTTGGAAGACACAGGGTAGACTATAGAAAAGCAAAGTAGCAGCTACTCATGGTAAGCAGAGCAGGAATCCCACATACTAGAGATGAGATTGAATCTCAAAGTAGATGGGAACCAAAAAATTGACCTTAATGAAGCCCCAGCCTTGTTTTGAGGATAATGATGGATACAGAGAGATGGATGAAATAGAGGGAAATAATGAGAATGCCTTCAAAACTAAGCAATTAATATAGACCATGGGCAATAGGAGATACCTACAAATTCTTCAGCAAGGAAACAATTTGAGAAAAGTGCTACTTTAGAAAGAAGGTTCTGGCAGGACTGAAAAATTGGAAGGGAGTAGAATAATCCAGGTGTGAGGTCAGGATGAGATGAATTTGATTTTGCCAAATGGTTGAATTGGAAGGAAGAGCTACAAGGGCCAAAGTACAGAGAGATAAAATAATACAACAATTCATGAGCATCTTTATGTGCCTCAGCAAGGGGGTGAGGATGAAAGAACAAGGAAAGCATAACCCTTGGTGACCAATCACTAAGAAGACAAAAACAAAGTTGAGAGAGATCTGCCAAGGTGGTACTCAGGCATCAGACTGGGAAGGCATTAGTGGTGCCATCCCAGACCTAAGATCAGAAGGATGAGACACCAATATCAGGCATGCAAACTGATGGAGATACAACTTACATTTTTCTCTACACCCTCTATAAGTATTTATCTCTCTGATGAGATTTTAATCTTCTCAAAAAAAAGGAGCTATATTAATCATCTTGTTCAAGATACCCAGGGCAGTATTAAAAATAAAGAAATCATACAATGAATATCTATCACCAGTTTACTAAGTATCTTTAAATCCAACAGGAATTTCTTTCCAAAACTGTTACAATAACCTAGTCACCATTCTTTCATTATCATTTTACAGTGTCTCCTACTCTTTCTCTATTCCCTCACCATTCTCTCTCTACTCCTGATGAAACAGGTCTCCTACAGCTCCTGCCATCTGGCACACTGAGCCTCAGACAATTTATCAACTTATAAATATCATTTTTATTAAACTTTGAGAAAATTAACATAAAGAAAGAAAGAACAGTATGTGAAAGCTGAGAAGTTGAGAAAACACTGTGTGGTAGGTGTTAGAAAGGTATACTAGGTTGGTATTGAAGCTTGGGAAGCTGGGGCTTACATTCCACTCTTGACTTACTGTCTTATGCCTATATATTTATCTTCTTGGTGCCTAAATTATTCCATCTATAAGTCGAAGATACTCCGGTCTGACAAACTCTACAAAGAATAAGTCCACGACTCAGCCCAGGCTTCAGCACAGTGTTAGATTAATGGGAAAAGTCTAGGGTGGGTAGGAAATAAATATCCAGCACACCATCTCATAGATGATTATAAATTCAGCACAGGAAAGACAGGAGCTCTTAAAGCACTGCCTACTCAGTAATAATCTACAGATACATGAGGAATGATAAGATTTCAGTTAAATGGCTGATGAAGTTCCTCAGAGCATTAATGGCCAGTGCAATGACCCCCAAAACAAAAGAAATAGGGGTACCAACTCCTGAAGGGATGAAAAATAGGTTTCAATTCTCTTAAAGACCCCAATTGATTGAACTAACTGCCTAGATCCTTGTGTTAGGGACTTGGGGACTGTTCCTGGGATCACTAAGAATATGGTGCTGTAACTGATGGGTGATACCTAGCAGAGGGAAGGGAGAGGGGATGAAGATATGTATGCAACCAGCATTGTCTGGTCCTGTCCAAACCCCACCTCCATAATCATCATAAATATTCTAAAGGATTGAATAAAATTCAGAGAATGAGAGTAAACCTAATCTATGAGTGTTTCTTGAGTCATTACTAGTCATAGGGCACCATACATTACAAAGGAAGACTTACGGCAAAGGAAAAAGACTGCAGAGGAGAAAATTTTAAAAATCTGCACAACTGCTAGAAAATACCTTTACAACCTTTAAGGAAGTCATTTTACCCCCCTGGATTTTCATATGCTCCTCTGAAAATGGAAGAAAGGGATGCACATGCACTTTCTGTTACAAAATCCTATTTTGTTGTTGTTGTCACCGTTTTAATTTCCAGTATTTACCACTTACTTACCAAAAAATAATTTTTTTAATAAAAAGTTGCATCTCATCAAAATGCATGGATCATTTTTGGGCAGATAAGTCTACCTTGAAGACGAAAGTGAGAATGATCATAGTTTAACCACACTATCAATATCTCTGACATCCCTAAATCTTAACTTTTACCCCTTTTCCCTTCTTATAAAGTATCCCGTATTTATCTTCCACAAATGCTAGACTTGAGAAATACAAGGAACGTTGGCAGTGGCTGGTGAATTATTGACAACTGAATTGGGGCTGAAAGAGTGGTGATAGAGAAAGAGATAAATATTGGTTTCCAGATTTCAACTTGTATAGATGAAAGAATGGTTTAAAAAAAGAAAAAGAACTTGAAGAGCCCCTTAGTTTCAGATTTTTTGATCTTGAGGTGCTTATGAGATACCTGAATGAAGCTGTCCAGGTTGACATAAGTGTGAAGCTTGGAAGCAAAATCTGGGCCAGAGATAAGATTCAGGAGTACTTGGTATATTGATGCTAATTGATATAATGAGAATGGATTAGGGCAGCCAGGCGAGAACGTATACAGATTGGGAAAAGTAGTTTGCTTAGGATGAAAAGAATGTCAGAATTTAACTAGTAAGCAGTAGGGGTCCCCTGAAGAAAACCAAGAAGGAAGCGTCTTGGAGGTGCCATGAAAACCAGCAGAGTGAGGCATCAAGAAAGCCAAGAGGACAGAGATCTCAATAAAGTCATAAAAAAACAGCAGAAAAAGCCAGAAAGATGGGGATTTTCTTAAAAGTCCAGTGGATATGGTGATTTGAAGACATCAGGGCTGTTAGTAACAACTATTTTAGCAGAATAGAGTGAGTGGCTACAAACTAAAGTGAAGAAAATAATATTTTACTTTTATTTGGAGGAGGATGCAGGGTTGTATGCATAGAGTCCAAAAGATGGAGAGAAAATAAATTCTATGTACTTGCTCTTTCCTGTTGCCTGCAACTGGATAAAGGTGAGCTATTTTTTTATTTACTGGCATGAGTCTATCAAAGGTTAATTTCAACTGACTCATTGCTGGGAGAACTGACAGGCCACACTAAGAAGAAAATAACTTAACATCTCAGAAAGTGGAAGCCTTCTAAATCCCATTTCCTTGTCTGCCATGTTACATTTGTCAGATTTTAAAACAGTCGTTCAGCCTCTTTGTTGATCCATTTCCTTAGCTGTAGAATGGAAAATAATTCCCTTTTAATTGGATCCTAAAGTGCTAAAGGCCTTTCAGACCGCCCAAGTCTGCAGTGTTTAGTGACAACGTCCCAGCACAGAAATTTCCCAGCTACATTGTTCTATTACTGAGAAAACCATTTCTTTCCTCATATGAAATAAACAACTCAAATGCTCAAGATGTACCTTTTTGTGGGTTTACTTGGCTTTGGACCCCAAACTATCTCTTTGTGTCTACAGTATGTGTCTACAAAAGTAAAGCAGAGAACTGAGGAAATGATCCAGAGAAATCAGCTCCCAATGCAACGCTGCCTCAGCCTGTTCGTTTGTTCAACCAGAAAACTTTATAAAACTAAATTCCTCCTGCATAGGTTAGAGCCTCCAGTTTATTGGGTCTGTGCAGGTTCATTTGCATTCTCTATTTCTTTCCTCTTGAATTTCAGCCTCTACCAATTTTGTATCCCCCAGGAGCTGTCGTTAGCAGCCATACATCCTCTCTTGTAAATAAACCTCAACTGTCTGCTGGAAATTTCCACTTGCATATCCAGCCACCTCACCAAATGCAACACACCTAAAATCAAACCCATCAATCTTTCCCTCAAACCTTGCTCCTTCTCAGACGCTTTTATTTTTGTCAATTGACATCATTCTCCTCATCACCCTGGCTCAGATCCTCAGCATCTTCTCTGTACCCTTGCTCCCCCTTGTCTTCTGTATCTATACTCCAAGTCCTAAAATATTTCCATTGAAGTCCTCAACCCATCTGTCCCTTCTAGCTTCCAGTTTTTCTTATATGTCCCAGGTGTCAGACACCATACTTGATACTTTCCACACCTCACCTCACTTAATTATGATGATAACCCAATTGCAGAGATTGATGGAACTTCCCCGCATTCTGTAGAAGGAAGAATTGTGCTTCAGACAACTATAACTGTTACGGACTGAAGGTGTGCATCCCTCCAAAGTTTGTATATTGAAACCGTAGCCCTCAGTGTGCCTATGATTGGAGATAGAGTCTGTGAGGAGGTGATAATGGTCAAATGAGGTCATGAGGGTGGGATTCTAATTCAACAGGGATGGTGTCATTATAAGAAAAGGAAGAGACACCAGGGTTTACTCTCTGTACCACGAGAGGGCATGGAAGGAAGGCAACCATCTGCAAACCACAAAGAGCATCCTCACCAAGAACCAAGTCAGCCGGCACCTGTATATTGCACTTCCCAGCCTCCAGAATTGCAAAGAAATAAATTTCTATTGTATAGGGAACCCAGGCTATGGTATTTTG